CNCCACACACAGGCACACAGGCACTCTCACCCGCACGAAGAAGCGGGTCCAGTTGCTGTTCTCGCTCTCCCGCGCCAGCTTGGCGAGGGGCTCGCAGTTGGTGACTAGCAGCACCACCACCGTGTTGAACAGCATGGCCAGGAAGCTCTGCAGCGCGAAGGACCTCTCCCGGTCGGTGTGGGTCCAGTGGCGGCCCTGCAGCACCAGCACCCCCAGCAGCCACTTGATGAAGGAGTTGAGGACGGCCACAACGGCGGAAATGGACAGCCGGATGCCCCAGCTCCTGAGGGGTGGGGCGGGAGACGGGAGAGAGGGGCAGCGTGCCATGGGGACGTGGGTCAGCGGCGCAATACCGGGAAACACGGGGGGGGGGACACACACACATACACACACATACATACACACACATACACACACTCTCTCTTATAGGCGGCTGTGGCATCCAGATGGGCCCACCAGCTCCCCTGCCAGTATGTACGTATGTTAACTTATATAAGTAAATAAGTAAGTATGCTTTCTGTTAAATATCGATCCGGGCCTGCCGCTGGCCCGCTGGCCAGGGGGGGCACCTAACCGTATACGCCAACGGGAACAACCGCCGAAGCACTCCCCCCCTAGCGGGTTGAGAGAGGGCCGTGGGGCGCCACAGTCCCCTAACACTGGTCGTCCGGGGGCGCGCGACCCGCCCCGTGTCTCATGTCCACCAGGGTTCGACACTGACTTTCCTGAAACTTGCGGGATCCCCCGTACCTCCCAAATTTTCCTTACGGAGGGGCCCCCGTACCAGGCTCCTGTACTGGCCGAAAACCTTACGGGGGCCCCCGTAACCCCGCAAAACCTTTACGGGGACACTGTCCTTGGCTAAAACGCTGTGGAAAGTGACACTTTGCATTTTTTTTGCCCTGTAAATCGTTATTTATGTTATTTTCCCGTGAACCATTACACACGGGGGCACGGCACACTCAGCGAAAGCCAAGCGCCTTGGCCGCCGGCCGCCCATCCCTTCTGCTACTCTTTCGCGTCCTCCTCCTCATCAACAAAATCCTCATCCACGGACGACTCATCGGTATCTCGTTCTACGTCGGTCTCGTAGTCACTGTCACTAAAAGCCTCATCGTCACTAGCGGGGTATGTTGCTTGTACCAGTACTTCAATCTCTGGGTCCGTCGCAACCTCCTCGTTATCATCCTCTCCGTATGGATTCAAATTAATTTTGCTAACGTCAGAAAACAACTTGTGAATAATGCCTGTATAACCCTTACGCGAGTAGATCCCAGCAGCCTGATCAATCAGTGGCTTCGCCCCGGTATCAGCAGCAGGTCCCAACATGCCCAAACGAAGTAGCGAATCAACCGTTTCCAGCTTTAGCCGGTTCGTCAGGCGATTCTTAATAATACGATGCCGGCTAAATCCGCGCTCAACACATGCCGTCTGTGTTGGCAGGATTGTAGCGACTTGAGCCAAACGCATCATACGCGGAAGGAGATGGGCTTCGGGACGCAAACTCACCCACGCTGCCTCCCAAGTCACCCTGCCAAGCGAAATGTAGTAAGCAAGACGTGCCTTCATGACATTGAACTCCTTTAAAACGTTCGGCAACTCATCAGGCTTAACCTCGAACAGGCGGTGTGAATTCTTAGCAGAGCAGAAGTGCTGCTCAGCCTCCTGAGTGCAAGGCTCCGTAGAGCCAAGCTCCTCAGGATCATCATTGGGGTTGCCTATAACACAAATCTTTCGGTCAACTTTCAGGCCTGCGGTTCTTGTCAATCAGCTTCGAGTCCCTACCCTACCTTCTTTGCAAGGCTTATCATCTACTTTCTTTGTGGGAACAGGTTGGCCTCTTATTGTCTGCCATCGCTGGATGTTACAGACCAGAAGCTATAAAAGTATTATGAAAAGTGTAGTTACATATTGCAATATGAATTATGCCTGCCAAGTGTGGGGCCTTATCCTTTATATGGTCCGTCCTCTCCCCTACAGGGCCCCGTAAGGCATCTTATAAATCCTTAAATTCCTTACGGGAGTCACCGTAACCGGCCTTCGGCCTGTTCGGGGGCGGCCCCGTACGGGGCGCTTCGCGCCCCAAAATCTTTACGGGAGCCACCGCAAAGTCCTACGGACCCGTACGGGGATACCGAAAAAAGGCCAAAAACTTACGGGCCCCGTACGGGGTGTCGAACACTGATGTCCACCTCGCTCGTGTAATTTCGATGATGAGAGAGCGCACGGTGTGGCTACTAAGGCCCGCTCACAACCCACCTCAGCACGCGCCGCGGGGCTCAGCTCCCCCAGGCACCTTTTGCACCCGGGGGGCGGCTTGGCCCACCCGGGGCGGGTCCTTGCACGCAAGTACCCAGTACTCCTGGGCGGTGACAAATCCCCTCCCCACCCCCAGGTCCCCCCTTTTCGAACTACCGGCCGGACTACCCCCCCCCTACCCTACTCCCTCCCCCCTCACCCCCCCTTCAAGATCCCCCCTCACCTCACGTCCAGCTCATTCACGTAGTCCCAGCACACGGCCGCCGGGTCGCTGTCGCTCGGGCCGCTGGAGCTCCCTCCGCTGCTCACGGGGGCCCGGAGAGATATCCCCAAACACACACACGGCAGACAGCCCTGCAGCTGACACGTCACACTGCTGCGGGAGGTGCGCATGGAGCACTCCAGCTCCTGCTGGACAGCACGCTCGAACAGCAACCGCGACGTCGCGTTGAACCACTTGGGCCCTACGCCGTACAGCACCCGCACCAGGCCGCCGTACTCGGACTGTAACCTTGACGAGCACGCGCCCTGCAGGTGCCGCGAACAGAAGGCCTCCAACTGGGGATACAGCTCCCCGCCGAACATGTCTCCGGCGGCGGCGGCGGTGGCTTCCGGCGTGGCGGCGAGTGTGCCGTTGGCGTTGGCGTACAGCACCATAGCCGCCGCCGAGTCCGCCACCAGCCTGTCCTGGCGCCAGTTAATGAGGGCGCTCTCCTGGTTGCTGATGTCCGTCAACTTGGCGATGGCGGCGGCACACACCAGCACCATCAGCAGCATCACAACGTTGAGTGCCGCCTGGAGCATGAGGGGGTGTAGGGGTGTGGGGTTGGGGGAGGGGAGGAGGGCGGCATCAGTGCGTGTGTGTGTGTGTGTGTGCGTGTGTGTGTGTGTGGCGCTTTGTGCCGCCGCCTTTCTCTCCACCCTCGACCCACTTCCCCGGCGAAATGAGCCCCTGGCCCCTCAACCTCGTGTTCCTCCCGCCGTCACTCACCTCCCTGGCAAACAGCTGCCACTCCGACACCGCCAGGTCCTCGAACTGGTAGTCGTCAGGAGCAGATGCGCGCCGCACCCAGAACGAGTGCCGCTCGCGGAAGCGGTCTGGACGCTTCTGGAACAAGCTGGACAACCAGCCTGGGGGCGGGTGAGGGGGCCGGGTGAGGGGGGCGGGTGAGGGGGCCGGGTGAGGGGGGCGGGGGCCGGGTGAGGGGTGAGGGGGGGGTGAGGGGGCCGGGTGAGGGCGGTGGGCGGCGGGTGAGGGGTGAGGGGGGCGGGTGAGGGGTGAGGGGGGCGGGTGAGGGGTGAGGGGGGCGGGGGAGGGGGGCGGGGGGCGGGGGAGGGGGGCGGGGGGCGGAGAGGACGGACGGGGGCGGGGGCCGGGTGAGGAGCCCGGAACGTGGCGTCATGGGGAGTGAAGCGGAATGACTCTGGGTGCTTCAGGTGGGGCTTATGGAGCGTCGTGTGTTGGGTGGGAGGGGGAAATGCGGGTCGGACCTGTAACAACACAGTGCACGGCCAGCTGCTGGCCCGCTGGCTCTATTCTTCGTGAGTCTGGAGCCCACTGTAACAACCACACACACCTCTTTCCATTTCCCCAATGTGGGGATGACCTAACAGCGCGCGTGCGCACACCCACATACATAGATACAAACATACATACATACAAACAGTCACCCTCTCGTATACCATCCTCGCCCGGTTCCCGTCCGGGGTTTGTGGATCACTAAAACACATGCACAAACACTAACACACACTCCTCTGGCGGCCAGCGTCCTCCCCCCCTCCCTCAGGGGACAGATGGTGGCAATCGCCTCCCCAACCCCACCCCACCCCACCCCACCCCGTTTCCCCCCTCCCCCCTCACTGTTGGGGCACAGCGCGGTGCACTGCTTGCGGTCAGTTTCCGAGTCGAATGTGACGAAGGCCGCCTTCACCCGCTGCCGGCGCTCGGTCACACCACGGATCTGCTCAGCGATGTCCGCCAACCCCTGGTCCAACTTGTCGATCATTGAGGCGCAGTCGGCTGCGGGAAGGGAAACACACGTGCGACATACGTACATACATACGTAAACACATACGCCGAAAGATATATTGAGCTCAAACACTGCAAGTTATGCGAAGGCGTGGCTTGGTGTCCGGGGGTTTGAGGGGGGAGGGGGGAGATCAATCAAAAGACCAGCAGCGGAATGAGGTCGACCCTATCCCTCGACCGTGAGAGGTTGGTGAGGGTGCTCCGAAACTTCGGGGAAGGTAGATACTGCCAGTCGTAAGTTACTTCTAAACTATCTAAAAAGCAAAGTCTTGATCTTCTCTATGACTTACTACTTGGCCTTGTTCTACTCCTTTACTTTTTTATTCCGCTAATATGGAAATGGCAGAAAATTTTTAAAAATTTAAATATGAAAAATATGAAAATATTGAGTTTCTAGTGACCCCGGGGGAAGCTGCAGCCCTCCCCAACTTCACGCAATCACACACATGCTGACAGAAAGGGGTTCACATCCCCCCCGGCATCTCCCGCACCGGGCCGTACTGTCCACTCTGGGTCATCGGGCTTTGCATAAGCTCGTGTGTATGATGTGTGGGACAGGGGGGCATATGTTCGCCCGTGGCAGCTACCTGGCGAAACCCTGCCTTCCCCGGTATTTCGGGGCACCTTCATCCAGTCACCCTAGTCAACTTCTCAGTGGATCGCTCAGGTTCCGCACCCACCTCCAGCATCCAATGGAATCTGCCGGGTCGACAGCGGCCCAACTCCATTCCTGGTCGGCTCGCAGGTCAACTTTATCCCAGGTCACCACCGTCCATCGGCTAGGGGCACTCCTACCTTCTCCACCACCGGAAGGATTTTCGACCCTGACAGGTCTCGATCCCGGAACCTCCGGGGGCATCAGTGCGTATGTATGTATTTCCCCCTCCCCCCGGGCTCTATCTCTGGTATCTGCTTCAACCGTCAGCGGTTCATCTCACCCCCCCCCCTCGACCGGGCGGTGGGCGGGGAGATCCGTTCAACCCAGCACCCCAACGCCCGCAGCGCTGCCCCCATGCGTGGGTGCCCTGTGGTGTGGGGGTGCGATGGCGCTGTGATGCGGTGGGCGAGCATGTCCCACAAGGGGCCCTGCTGCTGCCGCTACAGCTACAGCTACTGCTGCAGACCATTCCGATCCGCCCCAAGGAAGGGTTAGAGGCAGCAGCGCCCCGACCACCGACAGAGAGCTGCGGCGGAGACCCGCTGGCCGCCTCCAGGAATACCCCCGCGTCCAGATGCCGTACCTCTCCCTCGTCGCAACCCTTAGCCCAACCATTACTTCCGGCGGTCGTACGACGACTTGTACGACCTGTAACCCCCGATCGCCCGTCCCGTGTGCCCCCTGCCCGCCCACCTGCGTGCCGGACCTTGGCCGCGTCCAGCACCATGGCCCTCCGCTGCTGCAGCCGGGCCGCCCGACTGCAGTGCAGCAGCGTGGCGCTCAGGCGGTCCGTCACCAGCACGACATCCATCACCTCGCCATAACGACTGAAGTGCTCCCCGACCTGGGCCGGGGTAATTAATCATCACACATATACACAGATATATACGACACATACATATACACATACATACGTTCCAAATACATACATACATACACATATACATACATACGTTCCATATACATAAATACATACATACATACGTTCCCGGTGCTAGTCCGCGTGAAACCCCTCCTGTCACGACCCGACAGCCCCCGACAGCCCTCCACCTCCCCACCCGGTTGGCCCCCCCCTCTTGCCCACCTGCACCGCGTCCGCATCCGCCGGCAGCCCGCGCACCAGGACGGTGTAGTCCGCGGCCTCCAGGGTGTCCTCGTCCGTGGCCCGGGCGAACCGCTTCAAGCGGAACCACAGCAGCGCCAGGCCCAGCAGGAACAGCACCGTGGACCCCGCGTCAACCAGGGATATCCCTGAGGGGGGGAGGAGGAGGAGGAAGAGGAGGAGGGGGAGGGGGAGGTGGCCCCGAGGGCTGCTGTACGGAGGGGGGCTATCTGAATGGTGTGGTGTGCGGAAGTCAGCTCGTGAAAGGAGCCCGCGGGACCGAGGCCGCCTGAGGAGCAGGGGGGGCGTGGAGGATGCGCACCAACCCACTTTGCTACTCCCAGTGCCCTGTCCTTGCCGCGGGCCGCTGTGCCATGCTCTTGTGCCAAACGCATGTCTGTCTATATGTATGTATGTATGCCTACACACTCACACAAGAGGAAGGTGCGCTTGCGCATGGGCCCGTTCCATGTGTTTGCGATCCAGGTGTTCATGTACGGCAGGGTGCCGTTATCCACGCTGTCGTCCACGATGGCCGCGAAGGTAAGCGAGTGGATTTCCGGGGTCGCATACCGCTTGACGCCGAAGGTGTGGTCATGTTTGTGGGCGTCATCCGTAAAGACGCTGTTGGTCACCACAATCAGGAACGGTATCTGCGTGCGCGTATGTGTGTGTGTGTGTGGGTGGGTGGGTGGCGGGGGTGTGGGTGGCAGGGGTGGGTGTTGCGGGGGGATTCCCCTACCAGTTGGGGGTTGGGGAGCCGCGTGGTGTCAGGATTTGGTTTAGGAGTTGAATAGTCGGCCGGTGCCGCGACAGACGACAAATACACTTCTACTACTGCGTTCCTTAGGGGTAGTGGGTAATCAATAATAGCTCAAGGGGGGGCTGTTAGGGGGATGTCCAATGCAGGGAAACCCGGAAGCGTGGGAAAACACTCCAAGGGGGGGCCGCGCTGGGTTAGTTGGGAGGGGAAGTAGTAAGCTTGGCTTGTGGCTGCCCTGGTCCCGTGGTCCTGTGTTCGGGTTTGGGGATACTGCTGATGGTGGTACTGCTACTGGTACTGCTACTTACAGCACAGAACATCATTAGGAGTGCGAGCCATCTTAGCCATTTCAGCAACTCGAAGTACAGGCCAACGCCCACGCCCCATTCCCTCCCCAGTGTCTTGGTGGAGGCTGTGCAGGGTGCGCTGGCAGTGCTGGCAGCGAGGCAGCTGTTCCGTTTGGCCTGTGTGGTTGAAGGGGTGTGTTGAAAGGGATGAGGCCAAGGAAAGGAGAGGAAGGCGGTCGTGAAAGCCGGGTCCGAGGCGACCTCTTGGTGTGGGGCAGCCGCGAGGCAAAGCACATCGATGTTCACAATTAATCGCTGCGATCTCAATTAATCGCTGCGATTTCAATTAAATCTAGATATCGTCATACAGATGTCAACATTTCATTACAAAACCAGTTGAGAAAATGGCGCTCACCTGTGTAATGTAGCCCCTACGAAGCTCGCTGATTGATTTTGGAGATGGTGTGGCAGGAGACAACACTGACTGCAACACAGAACCAAACACTTAGGATACTCTTGTAACTTGGTTGCCTCCATGGGGTCCGGTACTGTGAAACGCACCTCCAGGTCGCTCATCCCTCTGATCGTGTACCATTAAAGGTCAGTAGTTGCTGGGAAACGTGACTTCCATCTATCATGCCAGCAGTGAGAAGCTGTCCAGTATCAATACGAATACAGACCAAACAAGAGAGCAATTTCGTCTGACTTCAGTCTTTTGGATCGTTCAGCAGGATACATCTAATGTGTATCGTCGCCAACAACTGACAAATTTTGCGAAATCACGGACCCGGAGACGGACAGACGCGATGTGGCATGAGCTACCTATCTGTTCTCGCGAGCCTATTGCTGAAAGGTGATGCGATAAAATCTATTTTTTTGCCGCACGCAAGCTATCGGTGTTATACTTCAGCACAAGTCATCGTACATCGGTGAAAGGTAGTGTGACAGCCGAGAGCCAGTCCTGTAAATGATCTGCTGACATCTTCTACCCTATGGTGCTGCTCCCTGATAGTTAGGCGCACCCTCCATTGCCTGTACCTGCAGCAAGATCAGGACCGAGAAGTCGAACGGACACAAGAGAGCCGTAATTGTAAAGCTTTCGCGGCTCTTCGGAGGAAGCTCCACAGCGTTTACTAATTTATCTCTATTAGTGCGAGCTCCATTCCGTCTCGGGGGATGCCGGCCTTCCTATCGTAGTTGTCCCATGATGACATCCTGAAAGTGCAACTAATGCGGTCTTTGACCAAACCTCCAAACCCATGCCAGTTCATGACTGTTAATTACGCTGTTAACACTCTTACGCACCATGTTCGGGTTCCTTGTCAGCTAATAACGCAACTGATTGCTCCTCCCGCCTGTTTAAGCATGCCGAGATTGTAAAAGGCATACCAAAGCGCTCCTGTGATAAACCGTATAACTCGAGCGCAATTGAGATGTTTTCGATGTATCTTGGACCTGCACCCAGATGATGTGCCCCCTCCCCTAACAACGCTTTAGATCGTGGGCGAGGTCACACTACCACTGTGACCCAAAATTCTGGGCGCACCAGTGCGTATGCCACTTCAGGCCTTGTGTCATTCAGCCTATTCAAGCACCTGCTGGAACCTGCACCCCCTTACGGCTAATATAAATATGAAAAAGCGTAACCTTGCAGCATTCAACCACATTCATAATGTCTGGCACCCCGTGTGTATCCGTGTGAAGCGCCCCAGGCCCAAAAGGGCAGGAAGCAGCATGCACGCACGTGTCACGCCAACCATGTCCGAGCAAAAAAAAGGACGGGACCATGATGCACCACAGCGCGGCGAATGCGCACAAGTCGTACCGTACGGCGTGCGTGCAGGTCAGGTCGTGTAGCAAAGCGCGGGCCCATGCGGCCGCTCATCTAAAACCATTGGCCATGGGCCCATGGGTCCTTCCTGCAAGTCAGTCATACACTAAGCAATCCCTACCACTGCCTGCTCGTCTGTCTGTCGGTGTCTGTCTGTCTGTCTGTCTGTCTGTCTATGTCTGGACCGACTTACTGCACTGGCACTTCTCTCGCTGCGCGAGGCCTCCACGCATTGTCAAGCGGCTGTAGGAGGTAGGATGGGAACTTGCCTCAGTGCTCTAATGCCTGCCGTGTCCTAGAGCCTGCTTCACACAATGACCAATGACCATCACTACGCAACTCGCACAGACCGACAAACAGCGCACAAATTTAAACACGCTCGGCTCGCTATCCCAGCTATCACAGCGCTCAGCGGTAGCCCTAACAACGCCACCAATCATCTTGAGCCATTATTCCTAACGAGCTGCATCCTCAGCACCCACCAAACACCGCACGACCTGTAGGGCAGGGTCCAACTGCAACCCCAGCGTTTCAGCATCCATACCCCAGAGCCGTTGACCTATGCCTGCCTGCCTGCCTGCCTAGACCACTCATGGGGGGGTGGGGGGGCGGCGCTGTGCTCTATGGCACACAGCGTACGGGCCGCATAGCCCTCTCTCACTAATTTTACCTGTTCCGTCTACAGCATCCTTCATTATGAACCAAGCCAAGCCCCCCTCTTGCTAGCAGCACTCGCCTAGCCCCCCTCTTCTTCGCTGGGCAATTCCCCTTCCTCCTCCTCAGACGAGTCATCCCCGGCCTGCTGGTTGGACTGCGGCTGTTTCGGTTCCATGCCCCGGCTGGCCGCCCGTTTCCCCCCAGCTGCCCCGCTGCCTGCGTGCCCGGGTATCGGGGCCCCGCCCCCTCCTCCCCCTCCTCCCAGCCCGTCGTCAAGCTCCTCAGCTATGAGCTGCATGAAGTCCGCCACGTAAGCCTTGCTGCTGCCTCCGCCTCCGAGGTCATCCGGCTGTGCAGCACGTTTAGCAGTCTTGCTGCCAGGCCGTGTGCCGCGGGTATAGTACGATGCGCCGGCCAGCACGTCGTAGTCCTCGTCCGCCTCATCGCCCTCGTCCTCGCTTGGACGGGGGCTTCGCGAGCTGGCGCGCGGCTGCTGCTGCTGCTGCAACTGTTGGCCGCGCTGCTGTGACTGGTGATGATGATGGTGGTGATGGTGGTGGTGCGATGCACGACCGTTGCCAGAGGGTCCTGCCGCGCCGCCGTCACTGTCGCTATCCTGACCACTCCCCCCCCCGCGGCTATACACGTTGCCCGCCTCACGCTGCGCTGACGAGGTGGCCAGACCGGGTGCGGGCACCCCCAGGTGCGCCAGCATGCGGGCAGCTGCATCCAGTCGGGCTGCACGGCGGCTTTGGCCTTCTCCCTGGACGCGGTGCTGCGTGTTGCGGATGGTCAACTCCACCTTTGCGTACCTACACAGAGGTGAAGAGAAGAGAAGCGGAGAAGGGAAGGGAGCTCGTGTTGAGTGCCGAATGCAAGTTAGGATGGGCCGTTACGGCCCCCCGTGCGGGACGCAAGGGGTCGTGCGACGAGAGAGGCCAGGAGGCGAAGGGAGTGCACTCGAGAGGTGAAGGCATGAACACACCACCGGCTGACACCTTCAGCTCGCTGGCGGGAGACGAACGGCGTCAGGGAAACCATGGATAGCAGTGCATTTCCCCACGACCCTCTCCTCCCCTCCCCTCCTGCCCGTTCCCGAGGGACATCTCACCTTGCCGGCGGGTACCCCTCGTCCTCCATGTTTGCAAAGAGCAAGTTGTCTTTGCCAAACATGCTGATGAGGCGGTACATCGTGGCGTCATTGGCGGGGTGGCCCCCCGTACCCGTACCCGGTCCATGTCCCGGCCCCGCACCCCCGGCCGCACTGGAGCTCACAACCTCCGAAGCGGCCTCCGTGGGCGGCGGTGGCGGCGGCACCGGGCCAATGAACGCCCCCGACCCTCCAGAGCTCTGGTTGGGGTGGGAAGACGCGGAGGTGGTCTGCTGCTGCGGCTGCGGCCCTGCCAGGTTGCGGCTGCCCGCCGGTGGCCCTACGGCGAGGCTGATGCCCAGGGCCTTCAAGCCATCCATGGCCGCCAATCGCTTGGCGTCCTTCTTCGTGGCTGCATGTCCCCGGCCAATGTCCTGCAGACCCGAGTTCGAAGAGGGGGAGTGAGCGGGACAGGTAGCCGACCGTAGCATCGAAGCTGCACACAACATTGACCTCTGAGTTCGAGACGGTAATGCGCTCGAGTTCATGTGCCTGTCGCGCTGTCATGGCTCCCATGGCCAGGAAGCACTAGGATCTGGTGTACCAGCGGCCCCATGCAATGGTTCCGGAGCCTTGCAAGGTCAGCTGAAGCAGGCAAGCGCAAGTGCAAGTCTTAACCCGGGAAACAGCACGCCATGTAATGGGCCGACCGGTCATGACACTACTCCGCGGCACGTAGGCGGGCGGATACACCGTATCATTTATTACCTTTTGTACGGTGCACGAATGCAACCAGCCCAAGTGGCTTAAGATGTGCTTTCACGCGCGTCGAATCCAAGGTCACAGACAACCGCTCACCTTGCCGCCGTAGATGGCAGTTATTGTCCAGCCCACGCTCCCGCTCTCGCCGTCCTTGGCTTCCCGAAACGCCAAGCGCACCTTATTGCGCTGCGCAATCTCGTTTAGCTTGGTCACAGGGTTCTCCAGGGGCACCATTACGCCGGAGGAGTCGCTGCCGGTGGCGCTATCTTGCGGCGCGAAGGGCGGCGGACCAGGCGGCTGGGCTGCGCTACCAGCCGGGGGACCTCCGCCTTGATGTTGCTGCTGTTGTGGCTGGATCGAGGCTTGCCAGGGCGGCAAGCCGCCGGGCAGGCCGCCACTCGGAGTGCCATTTTCCAGGATGCTGCCACCACCTTGCCGAGGCGCCTTGCTGGGCGGCTCCCCAGGGGCAAGATTTGAGGGCGACGGCGGGCGCTTCATGCCGGCATGCATCACAGGGCCGCCGGACATCATGCCCATCGGAGGTTGCCCCGACGTCATGCCGTGACCCTGCATGCCCTGCCCCTGAACTGGCCCGCCCATGAAGTGCATCGGTTGCTGCGCGCCTGCAAACTGCATCCCTTGTGTAGACATCCCTTGCTGTTGTGGCTGCTGCGGGGGCGGCATTTGTCCCTGCGGTCCCTGCAGTTGTCCCTGCTGTTGTTGTTGGGGTTGCATTTGCCCCGGCTGAAGCATCTGCGGTCCGCCGAATGGGCCGTTCACAGGAGCCCCTTGCGGCATTCCGCCCATTCCGCCATGGGGCCCCATGGGATGTCCCATCTGCTGCGGCTGCTGCGGCTGGGGGGGCATTCCCATGTTCATCCCATGCGGCATCGGGCCCTGTTGCGGCTGCTGTTGCTGCATCTGCTGTTGGGGCTGCTGCTGCGGCATCCCGGGTATCTGCATTTGCACAGGTCCCGCGCCCTGAGGAAATTGCATGGCGACCGGCATCCCGGCCCCAGGTCCCTGCGGTGGCATCATCATCATCACCAGGGGCATCCCCTGCGGCCCGTTCGGCTGCAGCGGCCCCATGGGGCCCATCTGCTGCTGCATGGGGCCGCCCTGAGGGCCCCCAGGACCCATCATGGCCATCCCCAACATCGGCTGCCCGCTGCCCTGATGCCCGGGCCCAGGGGCACCCATACCCGGGCCCATCATTCCTCCGCCTCCTGGACCCCCCATCCCGCCCATAGGTACCATCATCCCGCTCATCGCTGCCATCTGCATGTCCAAGTTCATCATCTCGCCAATTAGCATCTGCTGCATCAGCACGTCGCGCGGTGGCGCGTTTGCTACCATGCCTGCGGGACCCATAGCACCAGGGCCTACAAGTGCGCCAGTCAAGCCGCCGCCAGGTAGCGGCATGGGCATCTGCATGGGTTGGCCCGCGGGTTGCTGTCCCTGTTGCTGCTGTGGTGGTGGCGCTGGCATACCGCCCTTGTTGCCCATGATGCCCGGGCCTTGCAGCTGCATGGGCCCGGGGCCCATAAACCCAGATGCACCGGGACCCATCTGCCCCGACCCCAAAGGAGGACCCTGCATTTGTTGGCCTGGGCCTGGCAGTGCCTGCGGCCCGCCCGTATGCGGTCCGCTACCGGGTCCCTGTTGAGCGGGCGGTGGCTGTAGGATGATCCGCCCGTCGGGACCCACCATCACCTGCATCTGTACAGCCTGCAGGGGACCCGGCTGGCCCTGCTGGGGCTGGGAAACCTGGTGTGGCGCCTGCGGTGGGGCCCCTAGGGGCGGCGGCCCCGGGGGAGGCGGCAGTCCGGGCTGGCCCTGCGGTGGCGGACCAGAAGGGCCCGGCCCGTTCGACAAGCCCTGTGATGGCCCTCCCCCGTGATGAGGCGGAGGCCCTGGGGGCCCACCTTGACCCTGGCCCTGCCCCAGCAACGGCGGAGTAGACGATCTGACTGGCGGAGGGTGTGGCAGAGGCCGGGCCGGCGGTGCCCCTGGGGGAGGTTGAGGCTGGTGTTGGTGTCGCTGCTGGGGCTGCTGTGCGTGGTGACGGGGTGGCTGCTGGTTTGGAGGACCCTGCGGCGGCGGTGGTGGGAATTGCAACCCAGGTTGCTGTGATTGTTGTTGTTGTGATTGTTGTTGTGATTGTTGTTGTGGTGGTTGTTGTTGTGGTTGTTGTTGTGGTTGTTGTTGTTGTTGCTGTGGTTCTTGTTGTTGTGGTTGTTGTTGCTGTTGTTGTCGTTGCTGTGGTTGTTGTTGCTGTTGTTGTCGTTGCTGTGGTTGTTGTTGCTGTTGTTGTCGTTGCTGTGGTTGTTGTTGTTGTTGTTGTTGTTGTTCTTTTACAGCTGCCGATGTGCCAGGCGCTTGCTGCTGGGGAGCTGCCGCCCCCGTCTGCTGTGCCGACGGTGGCTGGTGCAGAGCCGGGGGCTGGGGTTGCGAGGATGGCGGTGGTGGATACTGGGACGGCCCTTGCGGCCCTGGCGGTGTTTGTTGCGGCGGGCCCGGCTGCGGAAAATGCTGAGGAGGTGGCGGACGATGCTGCGGCGGCGGTTGCTGCTGGGAGGGCTGGTGCTTCTGCTGCAGCGGCAGCTGCTGCGCTGGAAGCTGCCCTTGCTGCTGCTGTGGAGGCTGTTGTAACGTCACGGGTGGGTTCTGCTGCTGTTGCGAAGCCTGCTGCAGGGGCGGAGTTGCATGTCGTTGCCCGCTTGCAGGCTGCAGTCCGGGCTGCTGTTGCTGTGGCGGCTGCGGTGGCGGCGGCGGCAACGTCTGCTGGGGCGGTTGGGGACCGACTTCAGCAGCAGCTGTGGCCGCGGACCCCGCCGCAGCCGGAGCTTGACCCCCGCTGCTCGTGTTGGGCCCTGGCCCCGGCTGCGCCTGCTTAGATGCCTGGGTCGCGTGCGACGCTTGCTGTTGCTGTTGATGTTGTTGTTGTTGCAAGTTCTTCTGTGCCTGTGCTTTGGACTGCTGCTGCAGCAGCCGCAGGGTCTCCGGATTTCTAAGCATCTCCGGGTTCCGTAGCAACTCCGCAATCACTGCCTGCAGTGACGGGTCAAAGCCTTGGATCTGGCTGCGAAGCGCCGCTAACAACGCGTCGTCAGCTTGTTTACGTGCACCCGCCGGCCCAGCACCGGCCCCGCCCACACTTGCACCTCCTGCCGTACTAGCAGGCCCTGAGCCAGCCTGGGAAATCGGTTTCTGCTGCTGCTGCGCATCGGAGGTCGAGGTCGCCTGGCTCCCCTGGACCTCCTGCTGTGCCTGCTGCGCCTGGACTGATCCCGGCCCAGGTTTCGCTGCATTATCTAACGAGTCCGCTTGCTGCTGCGGCTGAGCTCCCCCCGAGCCGCCGCCGCTCAGTTCTGTCCCACCATCCAAGGTGACCGCCCCGCGGCCCTCTTCAACGCGAGCACCAGCTGAGGCTTGTCGCGGGTCACCGGAGACTGCAGCAGCATCTCCAGGGGCGGAGCCAGGGCCGGCGGTCGCACCCGATGCTGGAGGTTCAGGCTGCTGCTGCTGCTCGGGACCTCCGGCATCCAACGCTTCAATGCTCCATTTACTGGGATCCAACGCGCCCGGCGCGATGCGCCGCTTAAGCGGCTCTGCCGCCGGCTGGGGAGCTGCAGGCGGCCCAAGAGATGTCAGGGCGCCGAAGGCGGTGATGGGCTGGGGCCCCATCCCGGGAGCTGGCGGCTGCAGCACGATGCCGCCGGCGGAACGTTGGGTGGCGCTGGCGCGCTGAGCCGCCGCAGCTGCCTGCAACAGACCGGGAAAAATGCAGTACTGAGACGAAACACCACAGCAACGCTGGATTGCGGTTGTTTTTTTATTGTAAACATATTTAAACGTATTACTGAACTGGTTATATGAGTGTTCCAGTCTGCCTACGCCAGATGACACTGCCTGCACTCCGTTTCCCCAAACAAAGGCCCGTAACAGTTTCATGAGCTCTCGTAATGAGCTTTACCGGGGAGTCCGCGACATCAACGCATCGCAATTTCCGCTGGGGCACTGGGGTCCTCCCGATAGCGAATAGGATTGCTGAAACCGGTGCTGGAAGCCCTGATAAAGGCAAGGCAGGCCGGGAGGGCCCACGGCATGATGACAGTCGCGTGTTATTCCCTGGGTAGTGACAGGAACAAGGCATGTCGGTATCACGAATCCAGGGATCAGAACGTCCTCCTCCTGCGTACCCTTCGTGCCGCGCGAGGATCCACAGGCTTGAGAGAGATGACTTGCGGTAGAGCCGGTCCTTGCCCTTGCCCCGGTCCCGGCTGAGCAGGCACGCCGGCAGCCGCTGCAGGGGTGCTAAGGCCGTTAAGCATCAAGCCATCGGGCCCAGCGCCTGTGGGTGCAGCAGCTGCGGGCTGCACGGCCAAAGGCGCCGCAGCCGCCAGGGCCCCCCCAGCTACCAGCGGCCCCTGGGTGCCGGGCGGGAAGACCACCTCAGGGAGAAACCCCCCCGGTGGTGGCGGCATTCCGAGAGATTCCATTTCCGGGGGCGGCGTGAGGCTGCTGGGGCGGAACTGCGCCGCAATGGACGCGAGGGTGGGCATCTGGTAGACGCGACTAGCAGCAGCCTGGGAAGAGGCAGAGCCGTTGCAGCAGGGGTAGGGCGATGGTTTAATGGTATCTAAGCAACTCTGCGAGATATTTCTCGCGTGACGCCACTGAACCCCCCACCTGGCTAGGCCGCCAAGGCAGAGCGAATGCCCCGATGGCAACATCACCGCACCACATCAACCCAATTCCCCATCCACAACAGCACCGGCCCCCCTGCACTGCACTGCACTGCACTGCCACCACACACACACACACACACACAGACACCGTCATGTACAGCCCAGCCCAGCCCCGCCCCCTGTTGCAGCCTCACTCTGTCCCACTCTCACCCGCAGGATGCCCGCGACCGTCTTAAGCCCCGGGAGTAGCGCTCCCGGGTTCCGCCGCTGATCCTCTTCCGGCGCCCCGGACGTTACCAGCTGTTCCGCCAGCTTGCGCAGGCGCTCGTTTATGTCGTAAAACAGCTCCGCACGCAGCTGAAGTACAGCATCGCGCATGCGCTTGATCTCGTTCTCCGATGCAAGCGCCAGCCGCTCCGCGGGTGTGCCAGGACCCGACACTAGGCGCGCCGCCTCGTCGCGGTACCAGTACCAGGGGACGACCTTCGCAAACGCCGGGCCGGGTCGTGTGGGGTGGCAACACGTGTGAGAAATCAGTTCGCAACCCAGACGGTGGTCAAGCTAAGCAACGCTTCGTGGTCTTCCCTAACCCCCCATAGCCCTACCTTCCCACTTTAGTTCCGCCGTGCGACCCCACCAGGTCGCACCAGGCCACATGTTGGTTCCATCGTGCTTTCTTGCTGTTCATGACCCTTTCCTATCGCTGACCATTCCATCACGTTTTCCTCCACCTGGACACCCGGCCACGACCAGGCCTGCCCACACCTTGAACAGGCCACCCGACAGCAGCCCCTACCTGCAGGATGCACGACTGGGACGCCGCCTCCCACACGTCCAACCGGTCATCCAGCACCACAGCAAGTGGCAGAGGCGGCTCGTCATCCTGCAGCTCAGGCCACTCCAGCCGCGGGTTGCCCGCATTGTCAGCAACCCCCAACGACCTGACAGGCGGCAACCGAGCCGGGCGCATCAATACAGTTAGTAGGACCTCCGGGGAAGTGGAAGGGGTCGCATTGTCAGCACCCCCCCATCAGCTTTCCCCGTAATTAAAAGAGCTATCAAACAGCTCCTTCGCACGCTATTTCCTCCCGTCATCATACGTGTTATCCCATTACACGCGCGACTACCGCAAGGAGTATCCGGACAATCCTTTCGGATCATCCGTTGTAGCCTAAGATTCATTCACATCGTGTCAGTCCCAAAGGGTCCGGAAAGAACTGGGACTTATTACTTACTGGGACCGACCGGCCAGACCGCCCCAGTTTAGCAGTGCCGCACCGGGACCCGTGACACACACACACACAAAACAGTAGCACCCACTTGAGCAGCTGCTTTTTGCGGCCGCCGGGCACATTGATGATTCGCTTCGACCGGTCACTGGTGGGGATGATGCTGGCTCGCGTGTCCAGTAGCCGCCACACCTCCAGAGCGTATTGCCGCTCAGCTGCCGTGCATACGTACACATCGAACCTGGGAAAGGGCAGGTCGATTGTTCACCGCGGTCAACAAGACATGTGCCTTTTGCGTCCTGGAAGCCCTAGGGCGGCACAGTGACAGGGCGACATGACGGGAAAATGCCCCTCAGCAGCCCCCTGCTGGTTGGTCGCGTGGCTGATTGGTCCTCTCTAGCCGTGCAAAGATGCGCAAGGAGCATGTACGTACGCACACGCGCACTGCACAGACTGCACATATTCCCATGTCGAGGGTCCCCGGATGTCCCCAGGGCTGCGTACCTGAGCTTGGGTTTCCCGTTCTGGTCCACTTCTGTGTCCCCGGCTAGCACGGCGCGCAGCTCCTCCCAGAAGGGCCGGGGCCGCAGGATCATGCTAGTCTCCCGCTGGTCCGGCCGGATCCGCGTCAAGATGACGGGGTGCGGCTTATCCAGCCGGATCACGGGCCGCTTGACCTGCGTACCGTCCTCCAAGTAGGCTAGCTCCATCCTGCAGGGCGCGAAGGGGAAAAGGAGGGATAGGGCAGCACATGTGATGTTGTGAGAACAGTGCCAAGCTGCAAGCAATGGCTGGGGCGAGCCGCCGTCGACACGTGACATTGAGACGCCGACACTGCAACCAATGCGGGTTTTACAGCAGCTCACAGGAATACAAAACAGGGGCCCGCAGGCAGGGGAAGCTACGAATGACTCGACGGGCCTCCCCGCCTCACTTCGCCTTGTGCGAGACGCCGTTCAAGGTGACGGTGCTCGTGCTTGCAAACTGACGCAGCATTTCCAGGTCCGACGCAAGCAGCTCCTCCTCCCGCGCGGCGGAGGACTCCGCGCCCCGCAGCCGCGCAGCTTCCTCGCTGTCCACCGTGACCCCCTGGCTGAGCAGCTCCCGCAGTTCCACAGCTTTAAGACGCCTTTGAGCTCAAAGGGTAACGTGAGAGCGCGAGGGCAAAGTACAGCGGCATCAAGTTAGTAATGACACTACTGAGTTGTTGTACAGAAGCCGCAGCCCTGGTCAATACTTCACGCTCTGCATGGCTTGTGACAGCTGCCCCCCGTCTCCCGCGCCGGGCAGATACAGCACCATCACAACAGTGTCAAGCGTACGTGAAGCAGGACCGGCGGGTTCTTCGCTACAGCTCATGTCGTGCTTGCTTGCGAGGTACTTGTTCAATGCATGTACATGTTTAAGACATGTGCGGCTATTGGTGTGATAAAGAGCAACGAGGGTAAGCGTCGTTCGAGTGAACCGCAATTCACCTATTGTGTATGTGTGCACGTCTGCGTATTCATTCTGATCTGACGATTGTCGAGCTTTCAACTATGTGACCAGAGTCAAGCCCAAACGCGTCTCACATTGCCCCGTAAGAATGTGTTTTGTGAAGAGTTTGCTGAGGATGCCGTAGCGTAGCGCCTCAGCAATTGGTGCAGCTTTGTCGATGCAGTAGCCAAGGGGCGTGTACTTTGTGTGTTTTGGAACGTGGCATGCCCATACCTGGTCTTGCGCGCCACCTCTATCTTCGAATCAAGCGTCGACATCGAGTTTGCCACCAACAGCGTTTCGTCCAGATCAAGAACCACAGCCATTCGGCTGTTGTCTAGCATCAACGATACGGCTGATGCAACGCCGAAGTACAGGAGGTAACCCCAGAAAACCGGGCACTTGGTGCCGTCATCTGTAGTTTGGGGGCATTAGGGATGTGCGAGAAGTCTGAGCTGCGCTGTAAGCCTAAACGCTGAAAAAGGGTCCAGAAAACACAGTTGAAGCTTCGCTTCTGTAAAGATAAACATATTGGCGTGCTATGTTTAAGGCATGCAATGGCAGCGATTATCATATGCTGAGACCGAAAAGGATATTCACACCGTCGCCTTGCTTTGCGTGTGCTTTAAGAGCCAGTGGAAGAAGACGCTGGTGATCCTCGCAAATGTGCTAAGGCATTTAGTCGCTTGCGACCCGTGGGTCATCTTTTCATCTAACAGTCACAAAACCTTCAATCAGAAAGTTTATTGCGCACTAATGGAACTTGGATTTTGTAGAACATGTTGGCGTTTCGCTTTGTTACCAAACTGCTACTTGATTGTACGGCCTTGTAACGGTGATAGTGGACTGCATATGTGCTATGTGCTAAAGATAAATTCTAAAGGAACGAGGGAATGAGAATCTCCATCCATGGTGATCCCTCGATGTGGAAAGCAGCCGACAAGAGCCCTGTCGAAGAGCAATGGAGGAGGAACTAGAAAGTTGACAGGTCGCAAACGGTAGACAAGATGACAAAAACAGGTGTAAAGCACAAGGACATGAAATGAAATAAGCATCCAACGGAAGCTCTTGTCCAAGTTGAGAGAAGTCGTCACCTTCAATGGAGAAGACTGGCGCGAGAAGTAACTCGCGCGTCTCATTGATCTTGACGACGATTGCCTTTCTATCTTCAAGGCAATGCTGATGCTCGTCCGCAAATTGCTTGAACGCACTGCAAATCCGGTTTGCGTGAAGTTAAGTACTAGCGACAACCTAACGTGGCATAGGCGGCAAAGCGATACCTGGGATCCTTAGCACGGTCGAGCGGGAGCAGTCTCAGGTCAGGAACTTGTCCTGTGTAGGCAAGCGACAAGACTGGCTGACGTATCCTTTTATGTTGCCTGGGACAGAGCCCTCAGCTACTATACTTACCTCCGCTGCTGATATGGAGTGCGAGCAACGTCGAGACTTTTTTGCTCTCCCTACGCGCGGAAATTCAGATGTGCACGCTATTATCAACTATGCGGATGCATAGGGCTGGCCCAAACTTCGTAGAGAAACGTCTGTGCCAGCCAAACAACGCCCCAAACAGCACATACAACCCAAGCAAACACGCAGGACAAATGCATGTATGAACAAACAATGGCAATTCACGCTCGCGCTATGTACCAGTAGCAGTAGACTTTGAGCTCGGGGCCCGAGACCGCCTCTGACAGCGCATCATCCCAAACCTTGCAAGGGCTTAGCAGGCACGGGTACCGTGCATCCTTGTCAAAAAACAAGGCAGACACCCTCATGGTTTCGGGATGTGCGTGCTAGGGCCAGGTTTTCGGGCGCGCGCAAAAGGCCGGCTTCTCGCTCTCAAAAAAGACCTGTCCCCGCCGCCGCCGCTGCCGCTCTAATAACTCTTACGGCAGGCGGCGGCGCAGGCATAGAGAGTGTGTGCAATCCGTAGTCGCGTATAAGGATTTGACAGGCGGTTTGAGACAGCAAACTTTGCCCTGACAACAATCGACACAATCCCCTATGATAAATTCTACACATATATCTTATGCTACTGAATTTAGGCAACACAATCTCAAGTCATGTGCAGAGTAAATTTTTTATCACAACCAGTGGAAGGAGAAGGGCCTTACGTGTTGTACGTTGAGGGTGCTGTGTGCCTGTGTAATCCACGCTGGGCAACCAATTGGAACTCCGCAATGTTCTCAGAGGGTGCGTAGAGGAACGGTTTGCAGAATCACTAACACTGGTTGACACTTTCGTACGCACCCTGTTGCACACAGAAGGATGAATCCCCTAACCCAGGTAGATTTTAATGTTTATTAGTTAGATTGTATAATATCTGATTCCAGGATTGGCTGAACCCCCTACCCATGCGCACTGCAGATTAAGAACACGCAAAAGGCCACCAAACGCGAAATTGAAGCAGGAATACAAGATTCGGCATCTTGGCACGCTCAGTTTAAGCATTCGGCTTACGTGTTTGCCGGTGGTCTGGACTACGAGTTGACGGAAGGAGACTTGCTCGCTGTTTTCTCACAATACGGAGAAATTGTCGACTTAAACCTCATTCGACACAAGGATACGGGAAAATCGAAGGGGTTTGCATTTATCGCGTACGAGGACCAGCGGAGCACTATTCTCGCGGTCGACAATCTGAACGGGGCAAAGGTAGTCGGCCGGACGATCCGTGTTGAGCATGTTGACAATTACAAGAAGCGCAAGGCGGAGGTACGGTTGGCGAAGCTGAAAGCCAGAGGCTGTAGTTTGGTGCATGCCAAGGACTAAGCATACTAGAGAAGCCGGTCTTGCCCAGCAACTCGCTGTAATTGGTCCCTGCCCACAGGTTGAGGGTGAAGACCCCAACGCAGTCGGGGAGGATGAAGAGGAGAACGGCGCAGGAGATCGCACAGCGGGGCGACAGTCAGCGGAGCGGCAAGACACTGGACCAGGTACCCGGCTGGGCACATCTTCTCCCTCCCATTTAATTAATTCCCTCCTAATCGCTCAATTACCCAATTGACGTGGGCTCCATGTCACATGTAGGGGGCAGAGGTTCCCAGCGCCGCGGCAACAGTCCCACGCCAGCAGGTCGGCAACAGCAGCCATCAGCAGAACCGTGGGCAGCCGCAGGCTCTATTTTTGCACTGATGGAGGAGGCACGACAGCTAGAAGCTGCCAAGCAGGTGGGGCAGGGTCTACCGTTGTCACCTTGGGAAGAGATGGAGCCGTGAAGTTGGTTCCCTCATGCACGTGCACATACATCGTACCCACATCGCCTTACACACGTGGCCATGTGAGAATGATCCCCGAAATGTTGGGCTGCATATTGGACCTCTGCTCTGTACGTTATGAGATCTGGCTCAATCGGCCTGGGGAAACACAACTGCGGCAGCCGATGATGGGTAGGATGCCTTACATCCCCGGCGCTTTTCAAGGCTGGCCAGGAATATTGCGGGGTTGTTGATGAGCTGGAATGAAATGCTGGCCATCAAAACGCGCGGACGAATCTGGACTGTTCGTAATGACGCCTAACGCTCGCTGCCTGCCCCTTGGATACGCAGAAGTCGCGCCACGCGGATGCACGGGTAAAAACGGAGCTGGGGAACGACGCCCAGGAGCCGCCTATTCGCCGCAACGGCGCCCGCGGCGATGTGGGTCAAGCAGTGGATGAAGACCGTGGTTGGGAAAAAGGGCGAAAGAGGGAACGGGAACCAGACCGGGAAGGATTGGCCGGGCCGTCCTTTGGTCCTCCCCGACCGCCGCCTCGACACGCGGCAGTCGGGCCTAGGGACGAGGCGGCAGGCCCTGGTCCTAGCAGCGCCCGCGGTGGGCGGTACGACGTGGACTGGCGCGATGCCACGAAGCGGTGCGCCGACGGGGACGAGTACCGCGGTGAGGGCCGTCAGGGCCGTCGAGGATCTCAGTCCCCGGGCAGAAGGTCATCACGCCGGGACGAAGGCCGCGGGTAGGACCGAGGAGATAGCCCGGGTCGCGGGGGCGGAGCTAGAAGGGATGGGGACAGGGGCCGCGAGCGCAGAGTGGGAAGAGGCTTGGACGGGGAAGAAGGACGGGGTAGGGAGCGCAGTCGCAGTCGGAGTCGGGGTCGGGAGCGCCATTCGGGGCAGCAGCCTCGGGACTCGCGACATCGCGAGCGGGGGTCGGACCGGGAGAGATGAGCCCTGGTGTAGTGCTACGTTGCGTCACGTTGCCATGCTGGTTGCGCTCATAGCCTTGGCGATTGGTTCAGCCGGGCATCGCCAATGGGTACATGGCTTTATACATTTACATGCCTACTTGGTTGATGCATTCCCGGCCTCTTAAATCGCTGGCGCGCTTACAGATCAGTTGTCACGGGAAACCAGGGAGGAAAGACAGCTCTCCAGGCCGTTGTAAGCAAAAACACAGTTGCTGTGACACAAACAGTCTGGCCGCCGTTATTATAGACGACCATCGTCTGCCAGCAACTCTTCCACTTTCAATTGTGAGTTATCTCGGCTTGCTTTGTTACGGCCTCGGCTTGCTGCGTGTCCTGTGCGCGCGGTGCTGGGTGTCCTCTGCAAGGGGGCGATAAGGTGCAAACGGTGCAGCTAAAGTCAGCAGCTGTTCGCACATGTCGGATCCCACGGGAGTTACTTATCAGAGGTCTGCATGTGCAGCGAATCGTTTAGAGGTAACCCTCCCACGCAGACCTGGTTCGGGATCGCGCCTGCGCTTGCTGCAGCTAGGGCCACGTTTAGTAGCCCCGGTGGCCGTAAGTGCACCGGCACGTCCAGCATGCTTTCCATGCCGTTGGGCTGTGCAATGGCTCGTGGTGGGCGCGGTGACTGGCTGTTGTCCCGGTGACGTTGCCACCACGGCTTCTTCGCTGTGCCTTACGAGGGCGTCATGGCAAGGGCCCGAGTATGATGTTAGCTGACATGCCTGGGGAGCTGCCTCCTTGGTCTGGCAGCTGTTGCCGAGTTGGGAAGGTGTCCATTGGGAAGGCACATGAGGGCCGCTAGCCATCTGGGCCGCAATCGGCGTCACCAGTGGCGTTGGCGGCGCAGCAATAGGTAATGCAGGGTTTCTAGGCTTGGCGAGATGGCCATGTAATTGCGACGGCTGTGGCCCCGTCTGTCGAGTCTTCACTCCGTCGAGTCCGCAGGTGGCAGTCGCCAGACCGTCGGCCCCTATGAGGTGCCTGTTCAGGAGCGCCTGCTGCACCGCCAGATGCTCCAGTTGAAGCTGTATGTCTTCCAGCACACGGCGATCAGCCGCATCACGTTGCCGGGTGGCCAGGAGGCGCCGCATAAGCAGCACACATCCTGCCAGGCCGCTGAGGAGGCGCAACAACCAGCCCGCCTGCTCCATGTTGCCGATGAAGGACGGCATGGGGGATAAGCCCTGTGTGGCGGGAGCAACGGGAGCGGACAGGGTGTTGTGCGGGGGCTCAGGGCTGCGAGGACGTCGTGATAAGCGACCTGTTTGCCGGCGAGTGCACCTTAACGCGGCGGTTTGGAGACGTGGTGATACGAACCTCCTAGCATTGGGATGACACCGACATGTGATGCTGGCCGTAGGGATAGTAATGGCTGCAGGAGGCGATGCGGTGTATGATCACTTCGACTTCGAATCTGATACGCTGAAACCGCTGTCAGCTGCAGATCCATGTCAGGTGAGGCAACGTCCGCATGGACAGGCGCTATGGCACGTCTCCGAAGAGCTATATTTTCTTCGTCTGCTTGGTTGCCCCTTCATACCTACCACAGCGCCTTCCAGCAGAGGCAGCCATATCTGCATGTATTGCCGCAGGGCCCGCTCGCAGGCGGCAGTCATGAACAGCAGTGCAAGTAGGGGTAGCCGGGAGGTCTGTAGGGCCACAGGACCCGTCAGCACCAAGATGCAGACTGCTGCACCAGCGTAGAAGCTCAGGTCCTGCAGCACCAGTGATGGCAGTTGGGGTTCGTTCCGGGGTTTGGGGAGGGTGGGCGATGACGGGCTCCAATTGATATTGAAACCACAGGTTTTTGCGTTTACTGCAGTAAGAGTAGATTTTTTCACCCATGGTTCGTATGACCATGTCCGTATACATGTTCGCGCAAACGTTTTCCCATATGGAGCCCGAGGGTCATCCATCCACCACAGATTCCGACAAGCCATGCTATACAACAAAACACAACGCAGCGTCGTCCCACCAAGCACTTCGCAGACAGCGGCCGCACAATTACCCTCACTACGGCCCCACGCACTCTGTTTCGCTTTCCTCACCTTGAGTGTCCACTGGCCCCCCAGAACCCTCCCTAGCAGCGAGCTGGTGCGCTGCTGGGCTACCAGCACTGTCTCAATGGCACCCTGCAGCTGGCCGCTCTGCTGCAACAGCTGTCCCGATTTGGCCGCCAGCGCCTCCTGCAGCGCCTCGTAGTGCGCATGACGCTCTTCCATGTGCGCCGCCCGCTGCAGCAGCTGCTCCCACCGGAGCTCCGCAGCGGCCGCGTGCTGCTGCTCCATCTGCTCCAGAGCACCCATTTGGAGGGCTAGGTCGCCCTGCCGCCGAGACAGCTCCTCCTGCAGTCAGGAAGAGGGCGAGGCGCGCACATCTTGGGCACGTGACCATGGCTGGGGCCGCGGTAGGAGTACATCGGACTTCCAGGATGGTGCATGATACGATGGAAGCGTGGGATCGGCTCCCACGTTCATGTAAAGATATACCACATTTGCAGACTCGAATCGAGATAGAGCTCATTCTTCCTAACAAGTATCTCAAAGCTGTACTTTGTAGAGCGGATGGGCAGGTAAATACGGCTACTGCGGCCTCGTCCGTTGCTGCGCACACGGCAGGTCACGAGTACAACCTTGCCACTAGGGGACAGGCTGGCTGCAGCCGGGTACTGATTCCGGACTGGGCACTTCCGCAGCTCCTAACGCACCTCCATGGACAACGTTTTGTTGACCTGTTCCTGCAAAGTGTCCGCTTGTCCCTGGATGGTTCTCAGCCTCCGGAGCCCCTCCTGCAGCCCCTCCGCCAGGCCGCTCTGCTCCTCACGCATCTGCCAGCAGCCCGCCCGCGCCCGTCGCGCAGGGGCGCACGACAGTACCGTGTATGTCAGTTCAATCAGTCAAAATAGCGGTGCTGCCGCCCCGTTCCCACTCCTACGCAATGCGCTCCCACACACTGGACAGGGGATGGCGTCGATGGAGCAGATAGCCGAATGGCAGGGTCCCGGCAATGTACACCTATTATCCTCCCAGCTCCCCGGCTCACCCACCTGCGATAGGCCTTGATGCAGCAGCAGCTGCTGCTCGTGGTGCACCTGCAGGCCCTGAACGACACCATGCAGCACGTTCTGGGCCGCCCCTGTATGTTGTTGGACAAGGCACCGCAGGTGCATTGCCTATAAATACCTCCATACACGCATGTGCGTGTGTCACCCACCAAGAACGCATTAGCACACACGGCACCCCACGCAGGGCGGCGGCAGCGGGGCTGGGCGTACAGCTGATTCATGAGCCCCACCTGCTCCCTCGTACAGCTTGTTGAGCAGCTGTGACGTGTGCCGCTCGAACTCCCGGTTAGAGACGTAGAGACAAATGCTGCGTGGAGGGGAGGAGTGGGCAGCCGCCATGGACATGCGTGTGCTTGGCGGGGTGCAGAAAGGTGGAGGGCTTAGGTGTGCTGGCAAGTGAATGCAAATCCGCAGGCGCCCGCCCCGGGATTGCATTCTGTGGCACTTCCCGGTTGGCATGGAGCTCGCTGGCTGAAAGGGGGATGGGGCCGGGATGGGGAGACGGCATGGCAAGCTGTGATCTGCGGGCGGCCGACGGGTAAGTGCTGAGACTTATTGGGACTTATGAATTAAGATACTTTTCGCAGACAGAATGGCTTTGGTGCCACCACATGGCATGCTCATCTGTCGATTTTCTACGTGGCATCTCGTTGCTTAGACCGGGCGTTACTGTTCGAGTTTCACCGCCGTAATTACCCCCCTCAGGGCTATAATTCTGTACTTTCCAATACGAAGGGCAGCAGGCTTCCCTGTTGGCGTCGAGCTGGGGCTCTGGAACTATTGTAGGTAAGCCTTCGGTGGCGTGGAGGGAGGGAAGCCCGGAATGGTTCCCTGGGATAGTGTCCCCTGGACAGCAGCAGTCAGCGCTGGCTAGCGCAGCGCCATGGAGTTGCTTGCCCTACCTGTGGATGTTGGCGAAGAACATGTTGTAGGAAGTGAATGCCCGGTTATCAAGGTTTTTTGAACATTCACTTGCACTCATACGATCGGTGCATTTGTAACCGGTGTGGCCGTTGCTGGTCAGGAAGCAAATGTTCATCGCATGCGCCAACTGCGAAAGCGGCGCGCAAAAAACGGGTTTAGACAACGCTGGAACGGCTGAGGCTACCTTGGCAAGCAGCAACGTCAGACGCTACCTTGTATTGCTGATCTGTCGTCATTTGGTTGCAGTTGCGGTCTATCTGCATGGGGAGAGCATGTAGCCGTGCTCAGCGAAGGCCAAACATACTTATTATTATATTATTATATTATCACTGTAGTTTTAGGCTCATAATGTGTCGAATCTTAAATTCGTTGCTCGTCTCGAGGCAACGAAGGACTTGGGCAACGAACCCGAGCGACGCAAGGCGACGCCTCGTCTCCAAATCCCATATTGCCCACAACATGCCTGAAGCAATGCCTGAGAGTAACAGTCTTGACCAAATATAGTTTGTAAGATTGTCTCACGCTTAGACAGCTCCTTCAATTGCGCATAGGCATCTGCATGGAAACCGGGGGGACGCAACCGTTGGCGTTGCCTACCGACATAACGAACAGTCCAATTATCATTAGCACCTTCGCCCTTGATAGCCACAGATACCGGAACGTCGGAGTATTCAGCTGCACCTGCCGAGGTGTACAGTATTGCGCGAGTCGCCAAACAGAGTATAAGCATAAGGGTCCTTCCCATGGTTATCAGGGCTCTTGCATAACTAAGCAACATTATCACATTCTTAGGACAGTGAGATCAATTATAATAGCTTTAACTCACGAATGCACACTAATACATCGTCGTATTTCGTACATCTGCTAACGATCCACAGTAGTAGCCGGGCTGCATGTAATTATCTTGTTCCTATGAGCACCTGCTGAAAGCGATAATAGCTGTCACTGATTATAACGCAGGTTAACTGCAACCTGGCGTTCAATCGTATCTAAATCCTCGCACGACAGTACCATGAGTGCTCAGTTGCAGGGCGTCTGCCGCCCTTGCGGCCTACCAAGATGTACTTCAAAGTCTTACCGGCGGCCCTTCGTTGGAACTCGCCGGCCTGTTCATCGCATCAGGTGCGCTGACTGGTCTCGCCAGACCGTGAACCGCTCGTAACGTAGTGTCAAATCTTACACATGGTTCACTCAGGGCAACAAGTGAGGAGGTTGATCTTGAAGCCCAGGTGGAGCTCTTCATGAGGCGTCAGGCGGAGATTGAGAGCGGAGGTGCGCGGCCAAGGCACCAGGTTTACTGCATTCGCAAGGTTTTATGACGCCGAACCCTTCAAATCCCTCTGATTTGTAGCTGCCTTCGTTCGCACCAAGGGCGTGGACACTGTCATCGGTGGCGAGGTCGTCAGTGACGAGGTGCGTGCGTGAGGTGTTCCCACAATGGACACAGCACGGCGCAGCACACGCAGAACCCCGATACCCACGGCATTTGTACTCTCTGTATCGACAGCATCCTCATGTCAGCTGTCTTTCCCTTATCTTCCCCTGCGGCTGCCCTCCCTATCACCCTATCCTTCGCCTGAAACAAATTTGCAGCTCGCGCAAAAATACTGCAGCGATATCTTCGAGGTTCTCAAAACCCTGAAGCGCACCAGGGACATGTCGTTCAACGAGGTGAAGCTCATCGTATCCATCGAGGACCCGCGGGCTCGGGAGCGCCGCGCGGCGGACATGGAGGTGATGCTTCCGTGTGTGTGTGTGTGGGGGGGGAAGGGTGAGGGGTGAAACACCGGGTGGGTAGGAGGTAGTAGGCGGTTAGTAGAAGGGGGTGGATAAGGAGGTAAGGGTGAGGGGTTAAAAAACCGGGGAGAGGGAGAGTGGAGGTACCAAAATACCAAAAGATCTGGTATATTTCTGAAGGAGGCTCCCTCCGCGGTTGGGGCTCAGGGACTGCGCGGGAAAGGAGAACAGGTGTGTGCACCGCCATACACGCAGTCGCACACACATAAACAGGGTGAGACGGGAAGGTCGGGGCTGCGGACCGAAGCCTGGGTAGTGGGTGAGCGGATGCACACGTGCACGTGCGCAAGTACAGCAAGGGTGAGGCAGTACCTCAAAGAGGAGCCAACCCGGATATATGACGGCGCGAGTTGGAAGGCACAGGATCTCGAAGCTCGGTACGTTGGTATTGCCCAGGGGGGGCCCCGGGGCCATTTCATGTTACACTGTGCGCTGCAGCGGTGACGATGACGGCCAGTCTGTCGAACTCACTGATTGGCAGCCTCACAGCTGCGACATTCCCAGTCGGTGTTTTCGTGCTCATGCACGACATCCATCACCATCAGCACCACCATGGCCGCGTGGTTCAGACACCAGGATGATCCGGAAGGGGGTGTCTCGCGATAACGCGCCCCGGGTAGGGGTTTGCTGTGCCCGAACCGGGCCTCATTCATTCGTATCCCAGATTCCTCAGCACACCTCCTCACACACCTCCTTCAAACCCTTCATTCCCTGCTATCGTCGACAGCTTCCCTTCCTCTTCCTCCTCCTCCTCCCCGACAATGACATTTTGCCGCCACCCCCCTAGGACGAGCGCGGTGTGTCCCGTGACGAGATGGCCGCCGCCCTGGTGGATATCGGCGAGGGGCGCATCCCCAATGACCGGATAGCCCTCAAGTGCCTGCACGACGAAATGCTCAACTGGCCTTTCCTGGAGGTGGGCGGGGAGCTGCCGGCAGCCGCCGCCGCCGCAGTCGCCAGCAGCCAGCAGGGGGCGGCGGAGAGGGCGGCGGCCGCCACCACCAGCACCGGCAGCAAGCCGAGCGCATCCGACTACGCAGCTCTCATGGGAGGTGGGTCCGGGAGGGAGGGAGGGAGGGAGGGGAGGGAACGGGTAGCGGCGTGGGGGTGTTGTTTGGGAATGGCTGGGGAGACCGGCATGACGGGGCCCGGGGGCCATCGCTTTGGTGGTACGGCCGTAGGGGGGTTGTGAAGGGAGGAGCGGGTTTCCTGCAGTTGTGGCAGTGTACGGCAGCAGGCGGCATACCTTGGTTTCGGATGTTGGGGAAGGAGAGGAGGAGGAGGAGAGGGGATGAGAGTTGCAGTCCTGTGCTGGCGGCCACACCACTGTGCTCGGGGCTGGCCCCGCGCACCGCTCCGCCAGATTGCCCCAATGAGTTTCCTGGACTGGACGGTGCCCCCACCCCTGGTCCACCCCGCGGATCAGGACCTCAGGACCTCAGGACCTCCCAACCGGCTCCCAACACACTCGCCAGCCGTCGCACACGTCCCGCAGTCAACACAAAGTCGCTTCTTGCTTTCCCGCCCCGCCGCCACCGCTGCACCTGAGTCCCCCGTGCAATCCGATTTTTTCCTTTGTTTGCCTCCTCCCCTCCCCTAACTGAGTTTCCGACCTTCTCCCCCGCCTCCTATTGGGGGCCGTCCCACTCTTTCCTCATCCTCATCCTCCTGCTCTTCCAACTCGGCTCCCCATTTGCCCCTTCGGGCACATCGCAGGTGACACGGTCGTGAAGCCGTATGTGATGGGCGACGAGCTCCGCAAGGGAGAGAAGCCGCAGTCCATGACGGACATGCTGCCCGGCTGGGTGGGGTACGGCGTGCTGTACGGCGTGAGCGCCATCCCCGTGATGCTGGTGGTGGGGACCATCCTCATCCTCTTCTACAACTCGCTCAAGTGATCTCCTCTCACGGGGTGCGGCTCCGCCCTTGCGGCCCACACCAGCAGCAGCAGCAGCAGAGCACGGAATGAGCTGGACCAGGGAAAGGGGGGAAAAGGCGGAAAAGGGAATGCGTGGGAGTGTCCAGTGCGTGGGAGGCGACCTTGCCTCAGAGGGTGGTTTTGGGATTTAGTTATTGTATTGTGTGTGGACTGTCTTGCGTTGATGGGAGGTGGGTTGGAGTTGGAGTTACTGATGGGGGCTGGTAATCGCGTGGCGTGTAAGAAACTTGGCAGTGGCTTACATCGTTGTCCGATCGGGTCGGATTGGTGTTTTGGTGAGGCGTCTGTTCAGGTTGAGACGTTGTGTTTCCGCGAGTCGGTCGACACGGGAGTGGACGTACCTGTGCCTACAAGTCACCATGCGTGATCGTGCACACATGGGCCGACAAGTTCTTTAAGAGACGGACACGCGGCACGTGCGGAAGGGCACGCTGCACCGCTTGCGTTGCACAGAACCTTCTCCTGGGGTATGAAGGCTTTGGGGTCAACTGGAGGACGAGGCCACTTCAGATTGTGAACGGAACGGGTTGGGCGCGGCACTGTAACAGCATCAGGGATAACAATGCGCCAGTACGGCTTGACAACACATACACCTCTTTGACTTGAGCGTTTTTATTATAGGGGCCATAAAACATGGGAATCAAGTTAAATTTTTTGGGTCCAAGACGCCAAAGGTTGTGCATCTGCAATTGCAACTGTCGAGCGGATCCGACGAACTTTAAAAAACGTCTTTCTAGCAAAGCCTTCTTCCTCTTGCAAACCCAATGCTCTAAAGTTATACTTCAAATATATACCACATGCGCTGTTTTGCAATAATTTACCTCGCTTTCGGCGATAAATTTGTCGCCAAGCTTTGATTCGCCTGCAAGGGCATGCCGATGACTAGGACACCACATAATCCAAACCTGTCCTTCGGATTGAGACGAATGCGGCCACGAGAAACACTAGACCTGCAACGCTGGCGCGAAGCGACGCGACATACAGTAGTAACAGTTCACGGCGCAGCAGACCTTTTCACTGGATACCTAATTGCAGGAGGTAATGCTCTCGGGCTGCATGGGCCTGATTACATGGGCCTGATTACATGGGCAACGTCGGTTGCTAAGTACCAGTAATCGAACCAGCTGACATGCCGCAGGTCCCGACGCCATCAAGTCACTGCAAGCAACAATACGAAAACTTCAAGCCCAGTTGGAAGACCAGAAGGCAGATGGACGACTTGAGCGTTATCGGAAGCTGCAGAAGGACCTCGAGGTGCTGCAGCTTTCGTACGGAATGGCCGTTACACGTCACGGCATCTTTTCGTACTCTCTTGTACGGCTTACGGGGTTGTAAACCTCCTCTCAATGCCTTCAGGAGTGCGACAAAGTGCGTGCGAGTCTGAGAACCGCCTTGGTGACATCTTGCAACTGGACTGAGGACGAGGTGAGGGATGGAGCCGCGAGTGCAGTACGGCGCCTGTACGGTGCCGGACATCCGAGCCGCACCTGTCAGACTTCTGCGACAGAGGATGTTCCTGGGAGATGTGCTTTCTGAGCCAGCCACAGGGCCGAGAGGGTCAGCCTCCTCTCCCCTGGGGCTTTTACCTGGATTGCCTGCAGTTTGGTGATGACCGGGCCCCGCTTGTTCGTTTCGCTCGCTTTCGGTATCCTGCATCCTGGGAAGGGAAAGGGGGGTGGTCGGCGAGGGGGAATTCATACGATGCAAGAAACTGAAGAATTAACTGCCGACCAACTGCCTAAAGAACCACAAACTGCTGGGTTCCGAAGCAATGAGGTAGCTGGAAGCTCAGCCCCATTAACTAACCCACCTCCTGCACGTTATCCACTGGTGTGACCGTCCTCGTCTGGTAGGGGGGGTGAGCTACCCCCCTGAAGCAGCACCCGAGCAGCACTTTGTTCGGTACCCCGGGTAGCTGAACCGCCCCGAGGGTGGGGAGGGGGAAAAGCGGCGCATGGGGACCTCTCAGGTCTCCTCTCACATGGCCGTGGTCATAGCGCTGAGGTTGCCCCAAGGGGGTGTTCGGTTAGTGACCGTTGGTGACCGTTGAATAGCTCTCAGCAATTAGCAATGAGCCGCCTACCTACCTACCTACCTACCGGCTACCCACCACGCAAATAGTGGTGGGGGACCCACTTCACGTCGCCAATAGAACGTGTTGCAGTGCAGATATTGTATCACACCAGTCTTACACTTCACACGGCCCCCGCGGTCGACCTGCCGCCAGCTGTCACCTGTCTATCTGCCTTCTCATCTATCTGCCTGTTTATTGTCTGCTCGTCCATCCGTCTGTCTGTCTGTCTGTTGGTCTGCCCGCCGCTTTGGATGGTGCAGGTGGACTCGCACATCCAGAAGAAGCTCTTCCAGGCCAGCATGTTGTACGGCGCCTCCAGGTGCGTGCATTGACCCAGCACTTGGCCTTGGGGCATATCTACCTAGCCGTCCTCTGCACCTGCGAACCACCATTTGCGGTTCGCAGGTGCCCACAATTTAACATATTGTTAATATTATGTACATTTTTACTTATGTACATAAATATTCATACGTTGCATTGACGTGTGTCCCGTGTAGCACTGCCTAGTGGGTTGAGGCCGCCTGAGCCTGAGCCTGACCTGCAGCTGACCTGACCGGTCATGGACCTGCACATCAGGATTGTCACTGACTGTCACCTGAGCGCCGTCCCTTCTTCAACGAAGGTGCGGCCCCTGTGTCGCCCCCTGTGGCGTCCGTACGAGAGAGACTTGTAGTGTGCCCTTTTAAAAGTCGGGCCGGGTAGCCGGTAGGGGAATACACGTGTGAATGCGTGTGTTTGTTGTGAGTGTGGGAAGAGGAACACCGCTCACGACAGTACGGCAATACGGGAGGGTGAGTTGGTTTGTGTGCTTCCGTAAAACTGAATCATGCACGAGGCATACGTGTACGTGTCAATGCATATCTGTACGTATGTATGTATGTATGCACATGTTCGCAGGGAGATGCTGCTCCGTGAGAACAGGTTGCTGCGGTCCCAGCTCGAGGAGCACCTGCTCACCAGCCGTACAGCCAGGGGCGCTGTGCAGGCGGGGGGTTCCCCCGCCTCACCCCTCAAGGCCACCCCGCTGGACAGCAAGATGAAGCAGGCCCGCATGGTGCAGGTGACGACGCCTGCGGTTGGCAAGGAGACTCCGCCCGGCTGTCTGTCTGTCTGTGTCTGCGTCCGTCTGTCTGTCTGTCTCCCTGCCTCCGTGTGTTGTCGTATATACAAGTCTACGCAGCCGCACTCAGCAGCCCACGGGGACAACCTCCGCGCAGCAATTTGCGACTATCCTGATCTGTTGTAGGAGCTCATTGCGGGTGCGGGTGCGGGTGCGCCGTTTGTTGGGCGTTGACGGCCGCCGAGGACGTGGCCCGGGCTCCCCCCTCCCCCTCCCACCCCTTAAACCTTTGTGTCAGGGTCCACACCTGGAGGTGGTGGGTCAGCTCCGGGAGGCGGCGGAGGCTCTGGACCTTGCGGAGTGCGCATTCAAACTGCCGTCCGTTAAACATGCGGAGTTGCAGGTGGGGGTGCGGGTGCGGGTGTGGGGGGAGAAGGGGGTGCGGGTGTGGGTGTGGGGGGAGAAGGGGGTGCGGGTGCGGGTGCGGATAGGGGGGGAGAAGGTTTGTGGCTGTCTTCGTGTGTTGCATGTCGTGGCGGTAATGGCGACAGCAGCTGGAGGGGTTTGAAGCAAGGTGGCCCCAGGATAACCCTCCTCAACACCCCGGGCCCCCACAAGCACTCGCACTGGCACTTGTTAATCTCCTTCCCCAACACAATCACAACGCCCACTTACACACATACGTACATACATATGTACATACATGTGCACATACGACCAGGCTGACGACGGCTCTGCGAAGCTCATCCAAACGTTGCAGCAGCAGCTCGCGGCCGTGTCGAGTCAGAAGCTGCAGCTGATGCAGCAGGTGGCTGCACTGACCGAGCAGATCCGCGTGCTGGACATGAAGCTGGAGGGGGCACTGGACCTGGTGGCGCAGCTGCGGAGGGAGAAGACCGACATGCTGGCGCACCAGGATAACCTGTAGGGGTGCGGGTGGGGGTGGGGGTGGTTGTCCAGGGGGGGGAAGCTGGGGTTGGGTTCCTTGGATGCCGGATGCGACCGGACGCCTTAGTTAGCAGCATCCCGAATCGGGGTGGTGCGGTAGCTGGAGGCGGTGTACCCCGCCGGGGGCGGATTCGTTCTTAGATCTGCGGCAGTCGACCCTCGGCGGCGGGGAGAGGACCGTCCACCTGATAGGGTGGGTGTGGCCATGTGTGCTCTACGTGCACGTTTGCCTTCCTGCATAGCGCCCCTACCTTCTACCTACTCGCCTGCCCCGCCTTACCCGCCTACCCCCTGCGAACCCCCCCGGCCCCGCCGCACTCGCTTGCATTTGCGCTACCGTACGAATGTCCCGTCCGCAGCTCTAAGGACCTGCGTGAGCACCTGCTGTCAGAGGCCCGGCGGGCGGATGCGGCTGAGGGCGGCCTGGCTGCGGCGCGTCTGAGTGCTGCTGCGGCTGAGGAGGCCCGGGTGGGGGCGCTGAGGAGCATGGAAGGAGCCCTAGCAGAGGCGCAGGCCATGCAGTCGGCTCTGCGGGAGAAGGCGCAACAGGTGGTCCCCATCCGCGTGTGGGTGGTGGTGGTGGTGGTGGT